AAAATATAAAATGTTTGATCATTAGCTAGTCAGCAAATTACAGTTCACTAGAGAAAGTTTTTAGTTACCAACCATATGTTTATAAAAATATAATAAATGAAAATTATCAAATATCCATGTTTGAAATTTAGTCGAATAATTTTTTATTCGAAGTTTTCAATTCGAATAATATTAACATTATTTGGTCTGACGAGTAAAATTATGATATAATATATTAATATTTTGTGAACGGTTTCAATATTTTTTCCACTTATTTTTTGACACCCACATGATGTGTACTAGAGCCTTATTTACACTAATGTGTGTAAATGCACCAAGTGATTATTTTTAACGATTAAACATAAAATAATAATGATGTAAAAACTAAATGATTATCAAAGCAACGAGTTCATCATTTCATCAAACGTTATTTATTTGTAACCTTAGTGAAACCATCGTTTCATGCTTTATTAAAGTGTAAACTAAATTATAATAAAATAATGAAATAAAAAATATCTTAAAACTAACGGTACGAACTTCATACCGGGTATGTATATCTTAGCGTTAATGTATAAAATTTCGTATTTCTATAAAATAACTAGTTATTTTATAGAATTAATGGTACTTCCAGTTAATGTACTGAATTAATTAAAAAATATACGCTTCAAAAAGTTATTCTACATACTAACTAGATATTTTATTAACTAACAATAACAATTTAATTAATCGAATGTATTCAACGTTTAGTTAATCTAATGTATACAAAATTGTTATTAAATCCATACATACAATATAAATATATATTTTGAAAAAAGTTTATTCAGATTTGTACAACGTCAGTTCATTAGAATTATTAAACTATTGAAATTTTAATCAAATTAAAATAAAAATAAAATTTCAATATTAAGTAAATTTAAACATATTTTAAACTTAGGCACGTTTTGTGCTTTACTTTTGTAGGTATGTTGATTTGAAAAACCTTTGACTAAGATTTTATGGTTAGGATTCGGATGCCTTTCTAAGACAAATATCTTGATCTGGAACGTCATTGAGCATAATAAACTTTTCTGCACTTATAATAAACTATGATCTCGCATAAAGTTGTCTTAATTTACCATATTTAGTCCCAAAACGAAATTATTTGAATTAATAAATAAAACAAAGATTAATAAAAAAATACCCAAGTGATAAAATCCGTTTTTTCTAATAAAATTGCTATTATTGCAATGGTGTATCAATGTGAATGTAGATCACATTTTGACTTGTTAAGACCTGGGGTTTTGATTCGTACGTAACATACTAGAAGAGCAGGTGAATGAGACATATCTGATTTGTTGTATTCATTCTAAGTATTATTATGTTCCTTCTCTTCTATTAGAATTTTATTTTTTTAATTTATGCATAGTTGACATAATCCTTTCATGCATAGGCATAAACTGGTGGGGGGTGGCAAGGGGGACAATCGCTCTCTTAGAATTAATTAGTTGGGGCAGTGCCTCATTTGATATTTAACATACCTTTTTTTTTAAAATAAGTACAAAACAGCTAGTTATAGCTATTACTACTCGTATAACATTTTTTTTTCAAATGGCATTCTTTTTATATTCCATAAATATTTGTTTGCATAGTTTATATTTATTTTTTGCATGATTATTTGTCTATATTAGTTAATTGTTCGTTATATTTATTATTTACATTTTTACAATAGTGTCTGGTGTATTTGAAGAAATTCCTATTTTCGGAGATCATACTGAATATAGCTTCCTAAGGTCTCCATCATATCTCTCTATGAAAAGTTTTATTTTTCATAATATGAAGATTTAAGATTTATTCTATATATTATATTGAATAAATCTTAAACTTTCACTCTATTTCAATGTATTATTTTCCTTCTTGTATGGGTTCACGTATTCATTCTTGTATTCAATTCACGAACGTTATCACTTTGTAGCATGGTTGGTGCACCGAACAGAGTGAACATATCTAAAATGCTAGCTACTTCAACCTTTTCAATTTTAATGGTTTTAAAATAAAAAATGTTATCAAATGATTTTGATACACCAACACAAACTTATATTCAAAATAAGCTTGACTTTGATAGTTAATATGATCTAATTGACATATACCAGTTAATTTAGAAAAAGCTATAGGATTGTTATGATACCTTATTTTTCACTTTTGATTTTTTTATACAAGATTCTAGATTCAAGATTTCTACAATGGTAGAAATAAATTGATGAATAAACATTTTTTTTAAATTTATATAAATTTAAAAAAAATTTTGAATTTAGATTGAGTAATATTTTATATTTTTTTTTTCAGTTTATTCGTCATTCTGTTTCTACCATCGTATCCAATATATAGGTGGAAGTTAAGTAAAATATCGTATAATTATTCACTGTGGACATAAAATATAAATTAGAATTATTTGTCATTAGGTGTATAAGTTTTTTATTCCCTTTCACTTTTATCACACCATAACCCGTACTTGCCATAACCCGTACTTGCCATAACCTGTACTTGCCAATAAACCAATAGTCTCATGGAAATTCTTTTTTTTCTGTTTTAATACGTTTTAATTTATTTATTAAAAAAATCATACTTATCTTTAAAAAATATTCTGTTATATTTTTTTAAAAACATTTTCAAACTTTGTTTTCATTTTAAATCACATTTATTACATTACACGAAATTAATACCTACATGATGTAACACGGAGAATAATTGAAAAATAACTAACTAGTAGGTAAATAACAGTATAACACTGATTTCAGTAGTAAACTGAAAAGCTTGCCCAATCTTTTTAAGCTTATGGAATTCAATCGAAATTTATATATTTACAGCGATATAATATAATACGTTAAATGCGATAATAATAAAATTAGTGATAGAAATAATCGAATGAAATTATTTTTTGAAATTATTTAATTAATTAATTATACGAATAATCGATTCAGTAAGATTATTCATAAGCCGTTTAATGGTTATAACAATCAATACTCAGAACTCTGAAGCAATATTAAATAATAATATAGTTTAATGTATTCAAGAGGCGAACGTAAGAAAACAATTCGGGGAGGGGAGCTTGAAAAGTATAAAATGTTGATAATAGCAAACTTTATTATTCTTTATATAATACGAGTATAAATATATTTATATATTTTATTTGAAAGTTCCATGGAAAAATTTGAAATTTAAATATTATATTTGTCAGGTTGTTTTTTTATAAAAATATTTGGGATACTTGGACAAAGGAATTTGAAAAGGGTATTATTACGATTAATAAAGCTTGAATTGATTGTATAAACAATCGAAATATAATCTATATTCTAACTATTGATATTGCGATCAATGAAATAAAAATGTATGCATTTCAATTTTTGTTAATATTTACAACCTTTTCTCACCATCACTACCCTGTAAATCATAAACATAACCATATTCAGACACTCGTCAACGTAGTATACTCTCAACAAAATTAACGGGTACATCACTATTCAGGTGTCTAAAAACAGTAATGGTACGGCCACTCTTGAATGTATCTGTAGATTTATATAGTAATGTGGGACAACAATTGTATTTATTTATCTATTTAATATATTTAATCGTTTAGGTACAAGGACGTAGTGTACCTACGTGAACTTTGTATCGCAACAATGTACTATTTGCGACATTTTGGTATGATATTCCACGATTCTACGTATGATTATAGCACTGATCAAAAGATGTTCAACGTTTTGTTGTTCATTTTAGGAACAGTTAGTATGATTTTATTACCTTTCGTTTCACTTGAGTTCGATGACTATATTGCAGGGTCATTCTCATCAATTAGTGCATCAGCATGTAATGTGGTATCATTTTCAATCATTTTTTCAAGCCTCATTAAGTTGTATAACATGAAGTATAAATATCACAAGTATAAGAAAACATTAGAGAGTTTCGAGATTTACATACCAACGAACGCTTTGTGTTTAAGTCGTATACAATTTTCCTCGTTTATCATAATCTCCATATGTTTAATCGTTATTTTACCTGTTAATAGTTATAAACTGTGGAACATATTTAACAATCACACCAAACCCGTATTAATGACGACGTATTTTCTATTACACTATATTGAAAACTTTAGCTTGTGCTGCACTGAACTACATTTCGTAATCCAGTGTCTAACGGTGTCCTCGAAATTCCGAGAAATCAATAAAGATTTGAAAAAATTGGACACCGAAATTAATAAAAACGACGCCGAGAAATACTCGATGGTTGATTATAAACTAAATAAATCAATGAACAATAGTATGCTATCGCATGTCATCGTATACGAAAATGAGTTTTATCGTCCCAAAAACAAAGGATTTCCGCTGACCAATATTATAGAAGTGTTAAGAATCAAACATTGGATAACACGAGAAGCTATTAAAGACCTTAATGACCTGTTCGGAATCCATTTGGGCTTGTCCATTTTGCATTTAATTATTATAACGTTATTCGATGTGTACGCTGAAGTATTTCATTCTTACATGAAAAGTGACGTTGACGCAATATTCAGAACGAATTGGCAATTCATTCTGTGGATAATACAATATTCTTTCAGATTTTCGATGATCGTCATTACAGCGCAAAATACAACAAAACAGGTGAATCATCAATAAGATGTTTATTATTGTTTATTAATATTATGTTTTAGAACGTAACATTACGTCATTTTTGAACAACCAGAAGTAGGGTTGATTTAGAAATATTTAAAAATTAAATTTTTTTTTAATTATAATCAATCGTGTTCTGTTGTCCAGTGAAATGAATGGAGAGAATTTTATTTTTCAAAATAATTTTAACCAACTATTATAAGAATACATTGCTTAGTATATATATAGTTGGTTTTTTTGGTATTTCTGGCAATAATGGTTCCCATATTTAATGTTAGTTAATAGTAAATTGAATTCCTTTATTAAATATTTAAATTTTGTCTCAGAATTGAAGCCAAAGTTGAATTACAATTGCATTGTTTCTATAGGCAACAAAAACTAAAAAGTTAGTATCAGAAATGAACAGTCGGAACTTGGATGTTTACACTAAAGAAGAGGTAAAATTATTAAATATTATGATATGCTATTTTTTTGTTGTTCCAATTTTTGTATTCATATTTATAATTTTCAGCTACAGTTATTTTACTACCAATTGTCTGTCAGCTCAGTTAATTTTACTATATGTGGTATTTTCTCTGTAAACAACAGTCTTTTTATCTCGGTAAATATTTATTAAACATAAATAAAGTAATAATTTAAACTGTTAAATTAAACAGTGGGATTGTTTACTATTAGATTTACTAATTTATAGAGATATGATTATCATAGATATAATATTATGCTTTTATACAAGTATTTGATTTCTAATCAGTTGATATTGGTTTATTTTTTTTTATTATGAAGGCAGTAACTGCACTTGCAACATATACAGTGATGCTAGTACAATTTCATTCGAGAAAAACAAAGTACTGATGTCGATAAATATTCAATTAGACTATATGATAAAAAATAATAAATTATATAAATAGGTATTCAAAATATTGTTATACATTATTTATAAATTAAACCGTTTTTATTGTATTGCGGTACATTAAACGGGTTTTAGAGCTTATGTTACTTTATCATCCATCTATTCATATTTTGGTTTTTAAATTGAATAAAAATATAATATATCATTAAAAAATTAGCAGGTTTTTGTCGCCTGATTTACTAAATAAATCGTACACTATCGAAGTTATAATGTTATCTATTATAATTTTTCAATATGCACTTGCATTTCGATCTCATTTATACATATTTATTATTTCAATAAATAATAATGTTATGCTGAGTATTATAAGTTTGTTATTAGTTTAAAAAATCAAAATTTAATTTATACAAAATATAATGCACATGAATAAATTATAATTACAAATTATTTTATTTAATTGCACTATTGTACTCGTAAATGGTCGAAATATGGCATCGTCTATTTTTGACATAAGTACATTCACTTAAAAAATTACTCGACGTGCTAATGTTTTGACATTTGTAATCAATTTTAGTTAGTAAAAAGTATAAAAGTATCTATTAGCGTTCGTAGTAAATATTTGTATTCGGCATAAAAAATAAGGGTTCGTAAAATCGATCAAACTACCTGAGTTTTATAATTTTTTTGTCACTAAGAAATAATTCAAAATTATTTAAGTTTTTAAATTAATAATATTAAACATAGGATTATAAAGTAAATGGGTAGAACGCCGTAGTAGAAAAATTTGTTGTATTGTTACAATTATATTTTTGTATTTAATATTTAATTAGTAGAGTTTTTGAATACGAACGTTTGCGTTTTTTTTTTTTTTTTGTTATCAATTGAGATTACATTAATTTTTACCAACAATCACATAATTCAAATAGAGTTTAAGCCTGTATAATATTTTACTATTGTACTCATTTCTTCTTGTATTGTAAATCAGTTCGGTCGTAACGTTCAACATGAACGCATGTATTCCGTGCCATTCTTGCTCCGTTATTTGTACGCTTGTTGATTATTATTGATATTATTATCAATACCATCGGTCGGTATTAATAAATAAATAACGTTATCATAAACAATTAAAGTCAAAAAAAGGGTGTTGATTCGAAACTCTGCCACGTACTAGCACCAAATCCAAACGAAATGTGTCTAATTCATCCATGATGGTGAAAAATCTAAAATATTTATCTCACCGAACAGATACGCCATTACTGATGGTTCGATACCGATTATTTCAACACAAATGCAAATACCACGCCGGCAAATAACTCTACTAGTGATCTCGTCAACCAACCTGTTCCCGTTTATAACGATGACGATCCGACTCCACCGAATAAATCAAAATTATTTCTAATTACGGACCATTCAATAATTTCTTAGCAAAACACATCAGCCCAAAAGGCTTTAGATGTAAGTCGACGCCTTCTTCCTTCATGCGTAGGTCTCGGGTTGGATAAACTACGATCAAATTGTAAGTCATTTATAGGAAATTGACGCTAGTTTCCACTCATCCAAGCCTTGTTGATTTCGTTCATGCAAGATTGACATAAAAAATTAACATTTACAACAGAAACAGATATCGATACTTCTTTATCTGAATTTGGACATTCAGTCGTACGGGTTCAAAATGTCTTAGACAAAAGTAATCGCCTCTTCAGATTATTTTTTGTGGAGATTTCTCCGGACGCTGATATTCGGTAATCATAACGTTTTTACTTAACTCTCCATGTTCGAACACGGAACAAGTTTCGCTATCTTTATGGATACTCTCCCTTCCCGCGGTTCCGCTCATGTGTCTCGGCCGTAAACCTTGCTGTTGGCCGCCGAGCCTTTTTTGTCCTTTTCGAGCGGTGTAACTGAGCGTAACGTTCGCGCTCCGGTTCTCCGCGTCCGGACACTTGTGGAGATTTTGGCTTTTCCTTGATCCACGGAGGATATACGTGGAATTGTCCGGCGAGACCTCCATATTGGCGAAACCCAGGTACCATCTCAATAGCCGTGCAGTCGCAACCAGGTCACAATTTTTATTATTTAGTCCCACGTGGTCAGTGGGCAGATCAAAGCGGGTTTTATTATTGTATATTATATGTTATTGATGTTAATTAGATCTTATGATTAAGTTTTATTTGGGCGCCCGCTAATTTATTATTTATTATTCTTTATTATAAAAATATACGTGTTTCCGACCTAAAGATCGTGCTGTCGTGGTTAACCCTCCTGCATTCCCGTCCTCAACACAAAAAACGCAAGTCGTTGCCGACAACCACCATATTTGTAGGATCGGTAGCGGCGCAATCACTCCAGTTAAAATCAAAAACCGCATAAAAAAAATCGCCATTAAGTCGCCGTCCTCCACAATGTCAAATGCCAGTCACATGGCTAAACACAAAATTATTGTGTTCACTCTTCGCGCTGTGTCAAGTGCGGCGAAAACTTATCATACCTATGAGTGTATTAAATATCGTTATAGTTCTCCTAAATACGTCCTTTGCTCAATGGACAACACAGCCAATTATAGGGATACACGTCTCAAAAAAATGTTCAAGATAACCTCTGCAAAAGTTCCATCAATCAAGGCCACTGACTACCATAATTAATACAATACCTACAAAAACTTAAGCACAAGTAACAATAAATTAAAACATATCCACTGAACATATTTTCGGTATTTTTCCTCTATTCATTTCTAAGCCGAACGCCTTGATCAGCCCTCTAATTATTCTCATTTCCTCTATTTTAAATGCACTCATTGTCAAAAATACCAACTAAAATTATTCTTTTTGTTCAAATTTCTATTTTTATTATTTTATCTGTTTATATTACACTTATAATTAACGTATATCATTTTATTACTACGTATTGTAATCGAATTTTGATTATCGCCATACCATTGTAATATTCTCTTTATATTTTGTTTTTATGACCTCCACTGGTTATTAGTTACTTGTATATTTATTCATTTATTTTATTTCATGGACTGTATCATTATCTTGTATATTATAAAATAATTGTCGAGCTATGATAATTTATACTGGAAGCTATAAATAATAAATAAAAAAAATTATTGTAAATATATTAATACGTTTATTTTTTCGTATCAGAAACAGATTGGACTATTATAATCTAAGCTTAAAAAATCTTGAAAAGAAAAATGGCGGAAAAACCATGGTTTTTTTTTATAAATGCATTCGCACTAAATTTTATATTGAATAAAACAATAACGTATGTTATTTATTCAGTTTTAAACGTTCAAATTTCAACATTATTAACATTATTAATTCGTAACAGTTTTCGTGTGCGTCTTGCAGTTGAGATGACTCATGTGCATTTTGATGTTGGATAACAAACACAATTTTAGTCACATTTTAGTAGTAAAGTTAAACTATAAAATATTTACGACTTACTTTTAATAGACATGTAAATGTTTTAAATAAATTAAAAAAATTTTGATATTCAATTTTTCATACAATTAAGGACAATGTTTGAGAAACTTTGTATTATACTTTTAAGAATTTTTGTTGTACTAATTTTTTTGTGGACATTTAACTTAATAAGGGCAGACAACATAGACATTTCAAATATCTATAAATTGTACAAAGAAACTTAAAATATTTTGGAAATCAGATCATCATTACAGAATAATAATATTAGTATTCAGTTTAAATTTCAAGTCGCTACGATGGCTGCATACTACTTGCGTTACTCAAAAAGGTATATTTTTCAGGTAGTAAATTCAACAGATAACTTTGTGTCCCATCTTGGGGACGCAACTCAACTATATTATTTCTCTTACCTGCTATAAAAGTCATGACCAAGGCTCGGAACTTTATGCATTTGCATATTTGTCTGGAAAGTGCATATTGAAATTCTGATTCGATACAATTTCGATTCATAGTATGTATATTTCAGATATAAAAGTTTTTGTTGCATAATTTTGCATATTTTGTTACTTTTTGTATCAATTCGCATATATTTGGGTTTAAGAATATTTATATGCATATTTCATGGATTTAATAAAATTTTTTAAAAAAATGTATAGTTTAATAATAAAATATTAGATATATGACAACCAAAATTCTAAGTTCTATATCGTTTGACAAAATAAATTAATTTGTCAACGGCTATTATTTATATTGCTCCGGCTCTCAATGCACTTAACAATATTATTATAATCTTTATAGTACCGGGAACTTGTAATAGTGACCACCGTCGGCCCGTATTTGTTCTACAAATTTACCACTGTATTAATGTTTTGTAATATGACAAACAAATTGTATAACCATAGGTAATTCGTAAACAATTATGTTTAACCATTAGATTATCAGCTTATACACAATATTATTTCTGTTCGTTATAATACTGCATACATCTGCATGCAAGTGACTTCATTTTACAGTGTACACTATTCAGCAGTGGCGTCATTTTGGGGGGGGGCAAGTGCCCCCTCTGACCATTTTTTAAGAGATAAAGGTATAATTCCCCCCTCCCCCCAGATAATTCAACAGTACAAATAGCACTTATTATTATTGAACTCATGGATATTATTTAACAATATTGGTACCTAGTACATGCTACCTACAATTATTATCAACACTAAATTAAAATAATAATCGTTGTACCAAAGTGAGAAACAACGAAGAGTATGGTGGACTATTAAAGGAATGCAAGAGAACGAGTAAAAAACGAAACTCAGGATAATTAATTTATTATAAATGAATTAATAACTATAATAACTAAAAAAAATTCCAGTATAGGACATAGGTCAAATACCTATAATGTAGGTCGCACATTGGACCGGTGCCAATTTATTTTTATCTAAACCATAAAATGAGTTAAAAGATTTATGTAAAATCAAATAATTAGATATAGGGTATAAAATACCCCCCCCCCAGGGGCGTGCTAGGTAATTAGCACTACGGGTTTGGCAAACCCGGAGCCCCGAGCTATGAGCTGACTTTAACTAGCTGGCTCAGTC